TTCCCGCCATTCCCCTCTGATTTTCCCGCCGTTTCTTCTGATTTTCCCGCCGCTCCCCTCTGATTTTCCCGCCATTTCCTCTGATTTTCCCGCCTTTATCCCCTCTGATTTTCCCGCCATTCCCCTCTGATTTTCCCGCCATTCCCCTCTGATTTTCCCGCCATTCCCCTCTGATTTTCCCGCCTTTATCCCCTCTGATTTTCCCGCCGTTTCCTCTGATTTTCCCGCCTTTATCCCCTCTTATTTTCCCGCCATTTCCCTCTGATTTTCCCGCCTTTTTCCCCCCTCTGATTTTCCTGCCATTCCCCTCTGATTTTCCCGCCGTTCCCCTCTTATTTTCCCGCCATTCCCCTCTGATTTTCCCGCCATTCCCCTCTGATTTTCCCGCCGTTTCTTCTGATTTTCCCGCCTTTTTCCCCTCTGATTTTCCCGCCATTCCCCTCTGATTTTCCCGCCATTCCCCTCTGATTTTCCCGACTTTATCCCCTCTGATTTTCCCGCCATTCCCCTCTGATTTTCCCGCCGTTCCCCTCCTTTTTCCCGCCATTCCCCTCTGATTTTCCCGCCGTTTCCTCTCCCTTTTTCCCGCAGTTTTCCTACCGGGATGGGGAATTCCGGCCGCTCCCGCGGGTCCAGCTGAGCTTCCTGCGCCTCCTCAGCTCCTCCTCCCGCCAGAGCCTCGCCCTGCCCTGCCCCGCCAATTCCCAAAAAAAACCCGGGAATTCCCGGGAAAAAACCGGGAATTCCCAAAAATCCCCCCGGTCCCGGGAACCCGGGGAGGAGAATCCCGGGAATTCCCGGGGGTTCCTGAGGATCCTGGCGGGGAACGAGGAGGAGCTGGGATGGGAAGGAGCGAGGATCGTGGAGGACGGATGTGGGGTGGGGAAAAGCGGGAATTTCGGGGGAAAATTGGGAATTTTGGGGGGGAATTGGGAATTCTGGGGGGAAAAATGGGAATTTGGAGAAAAAATGGGAATTTTGGGGAGAAAATCAGGAATTTTGGGGGGAAAATGGGAATTTTTGAAGGAAAAAAGAGAATTTTGGGAGGAAAAATGGGAATTTTTGGAGAGAAAATTTGGGAATTTTGGGGGAAAATTTGGGAATTTTGGGGGAAAATGGGAATTTTGGGGGGAAAATGGGAATTTGGGAGGAAAAACGGGAATTTTGGGGGAAAAATGGGAATTTTGGGGGGAAAATGGGAATTTTGGGGGGAAATTGGGAATTTTGGGGGGGAAATGGGAATTTTGGGGGAAAATCAGGAATTTTGGGGGAAAAAATGGGAATTTTGGGGGAAATTTGGGAATTTTGGGGGAAAAAATGGGAATTTGGGGGGGAAATGGGAATTTTGGGGGAAAATTGGGAATTTTGGGGGAAAAAAGGGAATTTTGGGGGTGAAATTTGGGAATTTTGGGGGAAAATTTGGGAATTTTGGGGGAAATTCGGGAATTTTGGAGAAAAAATGGGAATTTGGGAGGAAAAACGGGAATTTTGGGTGGAAAAATGGGAATTTTGGGGGAAAAAAATGGGAATTTTGGGGGAAAAAAATGGGAGTTTTGGGGGAAAAAAGAGAATTTTGGGGTGGGAAAAGCAGGAATTTGGGGTCGGAATTTGGGGATTTTTTTGGAATTTGGGGTCGGAATTGGGGATTTTTTTGGACTTTGGGGTGGGAAAACGGGAATTTTTTGGAATTTTGGGTGAGAAAAGCGGGAATTTGGGGTTGGAATTTGGGATTTTTGGGGAATTTGGGGTTGGAATTTGGGATTTTTTGGGGATTTTGGGGTTGGAATTTGGGATTTTTGGGGATTTTGGGGTGGGAATTGGGGATTTTTTTTGATTTTGGGGAGGGAATTTGGGATTTTTTTGGGAATTTGGGAATTTGGGGTGGGAATTGGGGATCTTTGGGGATTTTGGGGTGGGAATTTGGGATTTTTCGGGGATTTGGAGTGGGAAAAGCGGGAATTTGGGGTCGGAATTTGGGATTTTTTTTGATTTTGGGGTGGGAATTTGGGATTTTTTGGGAATTTGGGGCTGGAATTTGGGAATTTGGGGTGGGAATTGGGGATTTTTTGGGAATTTGGGCTGGGAATTTGGGAATTTGGGGATTCCCGGATGGATTTTGGGCTAAAATTCCCAATTTTCCCCCTTTTCCCGCAGCCCCGGGGCGGCTCCGGGCGGCTCCTCCTGGAATTCCGCTCCTCGCGCCCGGAGCTGCTCCCGATCCTGGATTTCCACCTGGAACCCACCGCAATTCCCAAAAATCCCCAAAATTCGGGAATCGAGCTGGGACCCGTCTGTTTCCTGGGATAAAAAAAAACCCAAATTCCCGCTTTTCCCCCCCAAAAAATTCCCGCTTTTCCCAAAAAAATTCCCGATTTTTCTCCATTTCCCCCCCAAATTCCCGATTTTCCCTCCCAAATTCCCGATTTTCCCCCGAATTTCTCGATTTTCCCTCCCAAATTCCCGATTTTTCCCTATTTCCCCTCAAATTTCCAATTTTTTCCCCATTTTTCCCCAAATTCCCGGGATTTCCCCCCAAAAATTCTCGGTTTATTCCCATTTTCCTTCCCAAATTCCCGATTTTTTCCCCCAAATTCCCGATTTTTCCACTTTATCTCCCCAAAATTCCCAATTTTTCCCCCAAAATTCCCGATTTTCCTCCCAAATTCCCAATTTTTCCCCCAAATTCCCGATTTTTTCCCCATTTTCCTCCAAATTCCCAATTTTTCCCTCTAAATTCCCGGTTTTTCCCCTTTATCTCCCCCAAAATTCCCAATTTTCCCCCTAAATTCCCGATTTCTCACCCAAAATTCCCGATTTTCCCTGGAAATTCCTGATTTTTCCCCTTTATTCCCCCCACATTCCCGATTTTTCCCCCCAAATTCCCGATTTCCCCTGGAAATTCCCGATTTTTCTCCATTTCCCCCCCAAATTCCCGATTTTCCCCCCAAATTCCCGGTTTTTCCCGCCGGGAATTTGGGAATTCCCGATCCCGGGGGTTTTTTTTGGGGGGGGGAGGAATTCCCGGGAATTCCGGCTCCTCCCGACATCCCCGGATTGGAAAATTCCCAATAAAAAATTTCTATTTTCCTATGGAAAGAATTCCCGGAGGGACTGGGATGGACTGGGATGGACTGGGATGGACTGGGATGGACTGGGATGGACTGGGATGGACTGGGAGGGACTGGGAGGGACTGGGATGGACTGGGATGGACTGGGAGGGAACTGGGATGGACTGGGAGGGACTGGGATGGACTGGGGGGGACTGGGATGGACTGGGATGGAACTGGGAGGGACTGGGATAAACTGGGAGGGACTGGGATGGACTGGGAGGGACTGGGAGGGACTGGGATTGAACTGGGAGGGACTGGGATTGAACTGGTTTATACTGGGATGGACTGGGATGGACTGGGATGGGGTTGGCAGTGGTTTGGTGCTGGTTCTTACTGGTTTATACTGGTTTATGGTTGTTTATACTGGTCTATACTGGTCCATACTGGTTTATACCGGTCCATACTGGTTTGTACTGGTCCGTACCGGTCCGAACCGGTCCATACTGGTCCGTACCGGTCCGTACCGGTCTGTCCTGGTCCCGCAGGCCGCCCCTGCCCAAGCTGGGTCTCTCCGAGGCCGCTGCGGCCGCTCGGCTCCGGGCGCTGCCGGCACAGCACGACCACGGCTACAGCGGGAACGGGCTGAGGTAACTACAGCCGGAACAACACCGGGAACA